ACCGTGGCAGAAGGGCTATGGGAGTGTGCTGCCACAGCACTGGCAAAGTGCTGGAGGGCAAAGGATGCCCTGCAGCCCCTTAGGGTTGCCATAGCAGTGGGCTGGGAGGGGGGAAACTGAAGCAGTCAGAGGGACATGACATGAACCCAGCAGTCCATGTCAGCTGAATTGTGCCTTCCTGTGCAGGGTAAGTCTCCCATAACTGCACAGGGAGGGCTGGATGGTGTCTTGGTGGATGCAGCCTTCACAGGGGGATACTGGCTGCGCCCAGCGTGCTGAACCTCACCGCCTCCACTGCTTGCAGGGCTCAAGATGCTGGGGTGGGCAGGTCTCTCCCTGAGCTGACCCTGTGGGAGCTGGCTGCCCCGCGGTGCCCATCCAGCGCTTGGCTCCCAGCCTCGCTTGGCTTCTCCCGCTGGCATAAGGCAGCAGCACTGAACAACTCGGGCTTTGTGCTTGCCCGTGTGCCCGCAGCAGCTCCCTGCCCCTTAGGGTGCAAGATCCGCTCCCCCCTTCCTCCCAGATGCTCAGGCGCCCTGGCAGCCCCGCCATGGAGACGCTGCTTTCACCGCCTGCCAGGGACGGGAAGGAGCGATGGAGAGGCTCCAGCTGAGGTCCCCTTTGTGTCCCCGTGCAGCCGTGGGCTCTTCCTGGCACACACATTGCTGCTCTTGCTGCTGGGTTCGGATGCTGATGCAGGAGCAGGCTCCTGCCGCACCACCCAGCATCACCCAGTAAGAGCTGCCGGTTTGGGAAGGAGCAGTGTCCACCCCTACCTATACCTCTGTGTGTCCTTCTGCCTCCCAATCCTGTGTATCTGTGTGGGAAACAGCCACATTTGCTTGGCTGGAGCACTCGGCCAGGACCATGCTGCTGTGTCCTGGTCCCTTATCACTGTCCCTTCACAGTGAGCTGAGCATGCAGGGGATGGAGGTGGTGGCCGGGCTCAAGTGCCACTGTGGTCTTGCCAGCCCTCTCCTCCCTGGATGTGTTGTCTGTTCTGATGCTGGTTTATGAGCTCGGGCAGGAGATAGATGGGGCTGGCACTGATCATCTTGCTGGTCCCAGGACAGCCTGTGTCCTCCCCATGCTGGCTTCAGGCAGATCCCTTGTGCCAGCATGGGGATGGCCATGCACAGGTTGCCTGTGCCATGGGTTCCAGGGGATCAGCCAGGCTCTCTGTAGGTGTCTCGGCCCTTTAGGACTCAGGTGATGACTTTATGACTTCTAAAGTTGCTGATCTTTGTAGCAGAGGAGGGAAACTGAGGCAGAGCATGGCAGGTGCTGCCAGGTCCCCCAATGTCACTTGGTGGGGTTGAGGACAGGGCCACCAGGACAGCCCGTGCTGGCTCTGCAGATGTTTATACCATGTTTGGCTGGAAAGCTGCCCAGTGGAAAAGAACCCGAGGGTATTAGTTGATAACTGGCTGAATATGAGCAGCAAGAATCCACCAGCATCCTGGCCTGTCCCAGCCCCAGTGTGGCAGCAGGACGAGGGCAGTGACTGTCCCCTTGTGCTGGGCACTGGTGAGGCTGCACCTTGAATCCTGTGTCAGGGCTGGGCCCCCCACTGCAAGAGAGACATTGAGGTGCTGGAGCGGGGCCAGAGAAGGGCACCGGAGCTGGAGCAGGGCCTGGAGCACAAGTGTGATGGGGAAGGGCTGAGGGACCTGGGGGGTTTAGTGTGGAGAAGAGAAGGCTCAGGGGGGACCTTATCGCTCTCTGCAACTGCCTGACAGGAGGATGGAGCCAGGAGGGGGCTGGGCTCTGCTCCCAAGGAACAAGGGATGGGACAAGAGGAAACAGCCTCAAGCTGCACCAGGGCAGGTTTAGATGGAGCTGAGGAAAACTTTATTCACTGAAAGTGTTGTCAAGCACTGGAACAGGCTGCTCAGGGCAGTGGTGGAGTCACCATTCCTGAAGGTATTTAAAAGATAAGTAGATGTGGTACTTAGTGACATGGGTTTTAGTGGTGCCCTTGGCAGTGCTGGGTTGGACTTGCTGATCTTAAAGGTATTTTCCAACCTAAACAATCTATAATTCTATGTTTGTAGGAGGTATCATAGTGCCTGGGCATGGCTTGAACTGTATGTGAACATCTACCTGGCCCAACCAGGGTCTCATGTGGCTCAGTGCCTGGCATGGTGATGTTTCTCCTGGGAGGGTAGGGTGTGAGAGAGCTGGGACAGTTGGGTGCCAGGGAGCAGGAGGAGCTGCACTGGCCTAGAGAAACCCTCTGCAACATGTCTTGGTGATCGCATACGTATCCTGTGATGCTGGAGGGCACCTCTGCGCCATCCCACATGGGGCTGTGGCCACTGGTGCTCATCTCTGCCCTCCTGCTCTGCTTGTCCTGCTCTTGTAGTGGGGATCCATAGTATTCCCACACCAGCTGGCAGCAGCTTCCAAGGACATCCATTGGTGGTGCTCAGCTGATTACCTGAAGAGCAGGACCATCTGGGGAGGTTCCCATGTCTCTGGTCCCCCTGGGGAGATGGGACTCATGCTGAGAGCTGGTACTTGGCTCCCTGCAGGTCTCCTGGCAAGTGATGGGGTCCCTCAAGTGCTCAGGTCTGGCTGGGCAGCGATGTTTGGGGAATGGGAGAGCCACAGATGTTGGCATGTGGACAGCATTGACTCCCAGCCTCGAGGACAGCCCAGCATGGCCAGGCTCAAGCCCGTGCTCTATGGAAATCCATGTGTGTGTGCACCCCTCCAGTGCTTCTGCTCACCCTCTCTTCCAAACCCACATTTAACCACCGGGGAGGGGATGAAAATGTTTTGCTGAAAGCCCTGTTCTCCTTTTTCTTAAGAACTTTCCCAAATTACCATGGTTCCAGTTTGTTCCTCTGCCCATTCCCCGGGGACACTGTCGCTGAGCATGGCTGGGGTTAGGGAGAGGAGGAAGCTCATAATGTTGTTCAAAAAGTTATTAAAGCTGGGGTTTAATGTTCCTGGAGGAGAGTGGGACCCTGGGAAGGCGACAGGGGCGAGTCTGGGGCTGAGCACATCAGAAGCTGCTTTCTATTGTGGCAGCTGAGCTAAATATACCCACAGACACCCAGAGCTGTTCCCACACGCGGGAGAGAGCTGGGTGCCTGCGCTGCCTCCTGCCCCACTGGGGACACCCTGACCCCCAAACCCGGTGGGGGTTCATAGACTCATTTGGCTCTTCTGAGCCCTGCTTGCCCCCGGCCGGGCTGATAAGGAGGGTCTTGAGGAGCCCCAATCCACAAAGCGTCTGCTGCGGTCGCTGCCAGGGATGCGGTCGCTGCCAGGGATGTGGCTTCCAAGGAATTAATAGCTGTGTCTCTGAAGCACCCAGGGAGGGGAGATGTGCAGTCATCAGCTCTAATGAGAGCTGTTTGCTGTGGTGCTTGGCTCTGTGCTCCCTCTTTCTCCATGAATCCCCTGGGATCAGCCAGCTTCCCACAGCTGGCACATGCACCCAAAGCCGGAGCTGCGGCAGACTCTGCCTGTGCTGGAGCAGAGCCATGCCAGTGCCTGTCTGACTGTTCTGTACCCAGGTTTGTTGGGAAGGGGTTCGGTGCGATGGGTGGGAATGCAGTGGGTCAGTCGTACATGCCACCAGAGCTGGGAGCTGAGCACAGCCTCGCCTGTCCCGTTCCCATCCACCAAGCCCATGGCCGGGGACAGCCGCTGGGCTGGGCGGTGGTTGGGTTTAGGCAGTTGTTTTGGCGCTGGGACTGTCTTGGCATGGGTTTGCACTTTGCATTTCAAGCCTTTGGAAAGTGCAGTTTGATCTTGTTGCCTCTGAAGCGGGCGCTGCTGGCTGCAGAGCATCCTGCCTGCGCCCTGGCCGTCCCTGTCACTGCTGCTTCAATGTGTCAGTGGGTGTCTACATGCAGCCCAATGCCTGCTGCCTGCATGGGGGCATTGCAGTGCATGAGCCAGCATGGTCATGGCCCTGTATGGTCCTATATGGGCCCTATTCAGCTGCTGGGGCAAGGGCAGTTAAAGTGCAGGCTGCATGTGATTACCTGCCTGCGCTGTGGTCTCCAGCCCTGCCTGTCACCTCCTCGGCTGCAGAGGTGGCTGGTGGCATCACTGGGATGCACCAACCTCTTTTTCTCAGCCACAAACAGGTCAAGGTTGTCACTGGGTGCAGGAGGTGAAGGATCCAGTGCACTCTGCTCCACACTGCGGGCAGAGGTGCTCCTGGTCCCCTGCCTGCAGCAGCCACAGTTCCAGTGTGGGACATTACTCACATCCTCAGGACCGGGCTCATGTGAGTGAGCCATGAGGCTGCCCTCAGCCCCCTCCTCTTCTTGCAGGATCCGTCCCCAACTGTCCAAAGAGAAAATAGAGGGATGTCACATCTGCACCTCAGTGACGCCTGGCGAGCCCCAAGTGCTGCTGGGGAAGGACAAGGCCTTCACCTATGACTTTGTCTTTGACCTGGACACGTGGCAGGAGCAGATCTACACAACGTGTGTTGGGAAGCTCATTGAAGGCTGCTTTGAAGGTTACAATGCCACTGTGCTGGCGTATGGACAGGTACGTGCTCTGCCTGCTCCTTGGGTTCTGGCACGGGAGTTGGGCTCTTCTGCAGCACTGGGTGCTGGGGCTGCTGAGGTGGCACCTGTAGAGGTTACAGAAGGTTTATAAGCTCCTGGGTGTGGAGGGGACAGAGTTGTCCCTGGGCTGGGTGAGAGATGGGGCAGGGGGTGGCTTTGGATGGGAGGAGAAGGAGGCAGGGCTGGGGTGGGAGTGTGGGAGCTGGGGTGGGAGTGGGGATCAGAGGGGCTCGGCAGAGGCATTTGGGGTGCTGGGGTGGTGCTGGGGAGGTGTGGGGTGCATTGGGCAGAGCCGAGCCTGGGAGAGCCCAGCCAGCTCCCCCCTCACTGCCTCTTTGCAGACTGGTGCAGGGAAGACGTACACCATGGGCACTGGCTTCGACATCAACATCTCTGAGGAGGAGCAGGGCATCATCCCACGGGCCATCGGCCACCTCTTCAGCGGCATTGAGGAGCGCAAGCGCGCGGCGCAGAGTCAGGGCAGGGCACCTCCGGAGTTCAAAGTCAGTGCCCAGTTCCTGGAGGTGGGTGACAGCACATCTGGGTGACACTGTGACCCTCTCCTTTGCTCAGCATCCATGGCCTGGGCTCCTTGAGTCCTCCATGTCCTGGCTGCTCCATGGCTGAGCCGGATCCTACAGCAGGCGTGTGGCCACGGGTGCAGCCAGGGCAGAGGAGACTCAAAGGAGCTGAATGTTGCTGACCTCATGATGGCCACGAACTGGGGTGTCACTTTCTTGGCTGAAGGGAGACCCTCCCATGGTGCCTTGGTCCCTTGGACATTTAGGGGGCTCTAGGATCACTCCTGGTTGAGGCTGAGGATAGTGGCATATCTGCTCCCCTGTTACCAGTGAAACAAGTGGATAAAGTGCCATTCTTGTGGGGATTGGAGGAAGGGCTGTGTTATTTCCCATGTCCTTTGCTGCACCTTTGACCTTGAGAATGCTTCATTGCATCCTTTCCCGCCTCTGCCTTGGCCTCTCCTTTTCAAAAGACTCTTCTATTAACTACTTCTTTTCCTGGAGAAGTTTGGCCCAGAAAGCCTCTGGACTTTGTGTGGCTGCAGCAGTTTCCCTGTGGGCTGGTCCTGGTGTGAAAGTGCAAAGAAGCTCAAGATGGGAACTAGTTTAAGACCCTGGTGAGGAAACATTGGGTGGTGCTGAGCAAAGCTGGGCTTCTAAACAAACTCTATCTGGTTGGTCTCCTGGTCTGGGATAGAGCCCAGAGGAAAAAAGCAGGCAGAGAGAGAGGCCCTATGCTGGGATCTTGACTCCATGTGCCTTTGGTGTCCATCACATCTGGGTTCTTCCAGATGTCCATGGCCTGGAGAGCAGAATTGGTGCCCAAAGGCACCTCCTAGTCTCAAGGGCTGACCTCCTTGCTGGAGGAATCCTTCCCAACCAGCTTTCCATCTGCAGAACCCTTGTTTGCTCCCATGGTGCTGTGTGTCTGGCCAGATCCTTCCCTCCCCATCACTCAGCCTGTCTGAGCTCCTGGCTGCCTTCCCACATATCCTCATCCTCATGGGGCTCTGCTCTGGGGAACCTGTGGGCTGGGATGGAAATGGGGACAATTTCATGCCTGTGCTGAAGTCCTTCTGGGAGATGAACCTTGGTTGGGCTTTCTCCCCGCTGCAGAGTGCCCTAACCCTGCTGGAGCCATGGCATGGTCCTGCCTTCCTGAGCTGTAGGATCAAATACTTGCCTTCAGCCCAATGTGTGTCCCCTTACCCTATGTGACACACTTTCCCTTCCCTCTCAGCCTCCTGTATCTGTTGTCTAGAAGATTCTTCGCTGTCCAGCTATAGTTTCCCTTGCCTCAGTTTCTCCCTCTAGTTTGAGAAGTCCTGACAGTGCCCCAGGGTGCTGGGTGATCAGCTGTGGGATGCTGGGGTTTGGACATGTGAAAGATGAACACTGGGAATGGGATGTCTGTGTCGCATCTGTTCCAGGCCATCCTCGGAAGCATCTTTTCAGACCAAGAGGTCCATCACAACCCCAGTGTCACCTGGGGGTGAAAGAGCAGTGGCCCTGCTTGGGGTCACAGCAGCTGCCATGGGTATTTCCTGTAGCCTTTCTCACTCGTCACCACCTCTGACCTCTGGTGGTTTTGGCTCTCAAAATAGCCTCAGAGATATTTGTTCTGTGGCTGCGGTGGAGGATGGGAACAAGGCTTCCTCTGCTGTGCCTCAAAGCTGCTCATGGTTACACTCCCCAGGCCAGCAGCACCCAGTGGGACACTGACAGCCCCTGTTAAGTGTGGGGACAGTAGAAACCTGATGGCCCAGTGACTAAGGCCATTGGAGCCTTCTGAAAGCTTTGCCCTCTGGTCCACCCTGCGGCATGGACATCGAACCAGGCAAGCCAGGGAGGCTTTTGGGGTGATAATGGCTCTCCTGTGTCAGCATGAGCACGTGGCTCCATCAGATGCTGGTTACCAGCTGTGCTATGCTGGCAGTGGAACAGGATTTGTCCCTGCTGATCCCTGTCCTGTGACTCTCCTCCCGGGAGCAGGCTGTGAGAGCAGGGTTTGAACCCTCAGGGAGCCTGTTTGCCCATGGGGCAGCCAGGGACGGATTAGCCTGATCCACTGGGCTGGCCAGGACCCTGCGGTCCTTGAGTGACCCTGTTCTCCACACAGGGACATAAGTGTGAGAGGGTGAGAGGGTGAAGTGTGGCATTGAGTGGTGGTGGCAGGAGGACAGAAGTGCAGGGGTGTCCCTCTACCCCAGCATGAGAGAGGATGCTGCAGGGTCAAGATACAAATGAGGACATCTGTCAGCTCTGGGTCCTCAGGGTTTCTCTGCTTGTCCAGCACTCCCTTTGCCCCTTGTTTCCTTCCCACCCAAGGTAACCTTAGGGAGGTATGGTGGGAGAGGGGCTCTGCTGGCTCATGTGGCTGGGGGCTCTCCAAGTGAGCAGGGAAGGCCAGGGGGATGCAGAGCTCCTGAGTGTCCACTCAGGCTCTGGGGACATGGCTCCTGGTGTGGGACAGGGACAGGACAGGGTTGGACGGCTTGAACCAACGCAGACTGCAGCTCAGAGCTTTGCAAGGCAAACATGACACATGTATGTACACATGCCATTTCTTCTGGGCATCCTGTCCTGGCTGAGTACCTATGCAGGAAGGTTAGAGCTTGTCTGAGCATCATCTCCTGTCTGTACACGCATCCTGTGTGTCCTTTCCTACATCTGCACACACATCAGCTCTCCTGGTAAGCCTTGCCCGAGCACATGCATGTGCATGTATTTGGATGCTGGAGAGGGACTCTTCATCAGGGACTGTAGCGACAGGACAAGGGGTGATGGGTTCAAACTAAAACATGGGAGATGCAGGTTAAATGTAAGGCAGAAGCTCTTCCCTGTGAGGGTGCTGAGGCACTGGCACAGGGTGCCCAGAGAAGCTGTGGCTGCCCCATCCCTGGCAGTGTTCAAGGCCAGGTTGGACACAGGGGCTTGGAGCAACCTGCTCTAGTGGAAGGTGTCCCTGGGACTGGATGAGCTTTAAGGTCCCTTCCAAACCGTTCTGTGATTCTATGTGTGAACACACACGCACCCTCAGTGTGCAGCCTGTCCTCCTGGCTCTCAGCTCCTGTCAGTCTTGCTGTGCTCTGCTTTATCAGCCTCCTGCTTACTCCTACTCACCGTGCACCCACTTCCATCCCACTCAGCTCTACAACGAGGAGATCCTGGACCTGTTTGACAGTGCCCGTGACCCTGACATGCGCCATCGCAAATCCAACATCAAAATCCATGAGGATGCCAGTGGAAGCATCTACACCACAGGGGTTACGTCACGTCTCATCAGCTCACAGGATGAGGTGGGTGTGGGATGGGGCAGAAATGGGTGCTGACCAACCAGGGATGCGGGGTGATCTCACCCAGGAGGGAACAGAGCAGCCCTGGGGTGATGCAGGGGCAGGTCAGTGTGCTCACTGGGCTGTCCTGACTCCCTAAAGAGTGCTTTAAGATTTCCTTCTTCCCTGCTCCATGTTGTTGTAGCTGATCCAATGCCTAAAACAGGGAGCTCTTTCCCGCACCACTGCCAGCACCCAGATGAATGTGCAGAGCTCCCGGTCCCACGCCATCTTCACCATTCACCTCTGCCAGATGAGAGTGTGCGCCCGCCCAGAGCTGGTGAGATGTGCTCCTGCCTCATGGCTGGGCTCTTCCTGCATCTGATACCCAGGCAATATGTGTGGGGTCCTTTGGAAAGGGGAGAGGGTTTGAAGTCTTGCAAAGAGACGCAGGGATTTGTCTTTTTCTTTCCAGTCATAGCCTGTGTTAGAATTAATGGGAGCTGAGGTCTGCAGTTCCATCCAAAGTGGGAATGGTCTGGCCCAAGGGATGGCATAGAGCAAGCTGCTGTTGGCATCCTCTCCCCCATCCTTGAGGGATAGGTGTGGAGGGTGAATGCTGAGGCTTTTGCTGACATCTGAATGCAGCCAAGGGTCCATGGTGATGATGCTCTCCATGTGGCTGCAGGTGAATGGGGAGGTGACCAGCCTCCTGGATGGATCCCAGCCCACCACGGAGTACGAGACCCTCACAGCCAAATTTCACTTTGTGGACCTGGCTGGCTCGGAGAGACTGAAGCGGACGGGTGCTACTGGCGAGAGGGCCAAGGAAGGCATCTCCATCAACTGTGGGCTGGTACGGCGCTGGGCACAGAGTGCAAGGGGAGGGGAAGCCTGTGACACCTTTGGGTCCTGCTTGGGGCTGCTCTGGGCTGTTGGGGTTGCTGTTGTCTCTGCTGGGGTTTATGCTACCTGATTGTGTAGGCAGGAAGATGCACAATCCAAAATGCCAGTGGTGAGGGTACAGCCAGGGCAGGACTATGGGGAGGGGTATAGCTGGGCGCAAAGATGTAAGCCCCCAGAAGGTTGAGGTCTCCTAACTTAAGCTAGAAAAACCCTCCAGGGCTCAGTGTTGCTCCTCAGGGAATGTGGGAGAGACACACAGCCATGGGAAAGGGGGTGAATGCTGAGACTGGCAAGGAAAGCCTTATCCCACCACCTCTTGCATGCCAAACCTCTGCCACAGCACATGTCCCAGCCCTGATGTGCTGGCTACAGACATCAGAAGCAGCAGTGTTCTTGGCAGAGGCTGAATTTGGAAGGGGCTTTCCTTTGTGTTGGTAGCTGGCCCTGGGGAACGTCATTAGTGCCCTCGGAGACCAGAGCAAGAAGGTTGTGCACGTACCCTACCGTGACTCCAAGCTCACCCGCCTGCTGCAGGATTCCCTTGGGGGCAACAGGTAAGGGGGTCCCAGGCTGGGGCTGAGCCCTGGGAGAGGGCTGAGGGTCTATGGAGCCATGTAGGAGCTGTTTCAGGACTCAAGTCACGGAGTCATAGAATAGTTTGGGTTGGAAAGGCCCTTAAGATCATCCAGTTCCAACCCCCTGCAATGGGCAGGGATGCCTCACACTAGACCATGGCATCCAGGGCTCTGTCCAGCCTGGCCTTGAACACTGCCAGGGATGGGGCATTTACCACTTCTCTCAGCAACCTGTGTCAGTGCCTCAGCACTCTCACAGGGGAGAACTCCTGCTTTATATCTAATCTAAATCTCCCCTGTTTCAGTTTAAACCCATTCCCCCTTGTCCTACCTGTAGGACAGTCCCTGATGAAGGTTCCTCTCCAGCATCCTTGTAGCCCCCTTCAGACACTGGAAGCTGCTCTGAGGTCTCCACACAGCTTCTTGCCTCCAGGCTGAACAGCCCCACCTTTCTCAGCCTGTCTTCATAAGGGAGGTGTTCCAGCCCCTGATCATCCTCATGGCCTCCTCTTGGCCTTATGGGTTGCCTGGTGGGGAGGAGATGCCTCCTGACAGGCAGCGTATGACTTTGCAGATATAAAGACCTTGGTACCTCATGAGTCCCCAGTGCAATTAGCCAGCTTTGGCAGAATTAGCTGGTGCAAAGCTCTTTGGATCCCTTGTGATCCAGGACTTGGCACATGGTGTTGCCCAGCATGGGATGGATTGAATTCCCTGTCTACTTTGGGTCTACTTCTCTGAAGAGCCCATTATTCTCCAGCTGTGTGATGTGTTGTTTGTGGGGTTCTGGCTCTGACAGGGACTGAACCCAGGTTATACCTTGGGTATAAAACACAGAAGGGCCTAGGATGGGCATCCAGGGTTGGGTGCCAGGTTTCCAGGTACTGAGTTGGTGCAGGGTGGGGGGAACTGTCCTTTCACCCTGATCTTTACCTCCCCAAGCCAAACCATCATGATCGCCTGCGTGAGCCCCTCTGACCGGGACTTCATGGAGACCCTGAACACGCTCAAGTATGCCAACCGGGCCCGCAACATCAAGAACAAGGTGGTGGTAAACCAGGACAAGACAAGTCAGCAGATCAGTGCCCTGAGGGCCGAGATTGCCCGGCTGCAGATGGAGCTGATGGAGTACAAGGCAGTGAGTGATGGAGTGAGCCTGCAGAGGTGGGATGGAGGCAGGAGAAGAAAGCTACTCCTTGTGTTTGGATTGTGGCAGGGCCCTGCCTACCATGCTCTGCCCCTAGTGACAAGGGCAACTTCTGGGAGAGGTCAGAAGGTTTAAGAGGTGGGGGCTCAGCTCCTGCCTGGCCACAGCAGAACCTTGGGCAAGTGACTTGGGGATGCAAAGGCAGGGAGAAGCCTTGAAGCATATCTCACATTCTGCCTCTTCCTGGCCCTTGGGTTTGTCCCTGCCACTGCTTTGGTGGCTGGGCTGCCCCAGGGATGCAGTGGTGGGCCCCCACCTTGCACCCCAGCTCACCCTGCACTCAGGGACTCTCTCCTCCTGTCCTCCCAGGGCAAGCGGGTCATTGGGGAGGATGGCTCAGAAGGCTACAGCGACCTGTTCCGCGAGAACGCCATGCTGCAGAAGGAGAACAGCACCCTGCGCATGCGCGTGAAGGCCATGCAAGAGGCCATTGATGCCATCAACAGCAGGGTCACCCACCTCATGAGCCAAGAGGCCAACCTCATGCTGGCCAGGGCAGGTGAGGCTGGGCTAGTGTGAGGTGTGGTGGGTCAGCCCAGCCAAGTGTAGCTGGGATGGATGCTGTGGTACAGCCTGTGTCTTGCCTTGATCCACCTGCATCTCTGCTCCTGCAGGAGATGGTAATGAAGCTATTGGCACCCTCATCCAGAACTACATCCGGGAGATTGAAGAGCTGAGGTGAGCTGGGCATGGGTGCTGTGGGTCCCCATGGTCCCTGGGCTCAGCAGGAGCTGTGGTGGTGTCTGAGCCCTGATGTGGTTTAGAGCTGCATCCCTGCAGCATCACTGGGGTGAGTGAAAAGCCTTGCTGAAGTAGCAGCTGCCTACACTGCTGCTACACTGGGGCTGTGGGAGTCCCAGGCACTGCTTTGGCCATTGTCATCCTTTGTGTGGCCATCAATGGAGGGGGAGATCCTGTTACGGAAGTGCCTGGTGTCTCCCAGGAACTGCTGACCCCCTAAAGTTGAGTCCATCCCAGTCTCTTGCGTGATCCTGGGTCCCTGTCTCGCAGCATTCTGACCCAACATAAATGGGAATGACTGTCTCTGGCTCACACTATCCTACAACCAGGCAAGATCCTCTACTGTGGGGACAGTGGGTTGTCTCTCCTTTGACCATGTGCTGCCTTCACTCCCTAGGACAAAGCTCCTGGAGAGTGAGTCCATGAATGAGTCCCTGCGTCGCAGCCTCTCGCGCACCTCTGCCCGGCCCCCTTATTCCATGGGCTCATCCCCAGGCTCCAACTTGGCTGGGCTGTGCAGCCCCGCTGCACCAGTGGACACGGAAGCCTCCGATGTCCTGCGACGGGCCAAGCAGGACCTGGAGCGCCTCAAGAAGAAGGAGAGGAGGCAGCGCAGGAAGAGGTGAAGGCATCTGCTGTGGGGTGTTGGGAAGGGGGATGTCCATGTCGGTGCTGGTCAGGTCAGGGATACTGCTGCCCTCATCTGTGTGGAAGCCAGAACACTGAGACAGAGCCCAGGTTCCCCTCTTGGCACTGCCTTGATCTTCTCATCACCCTCCACACTATCCTGGAGGCTGTTTTGTCCAAAAGGTCCAAAACCAGGAGACAGGGGGCCCCCAGCAGGACCTGCCCCCAGGCTCCCTGACACTGGCATTCACCAGCACCCCTCTGCTTTCCCCCAGCCCAGAGAAGGAAGCATTTAAGAAGAGGCAGAAACTGCAGCAGGACAATGAGGAGGAGACGGATGAGAATGAGGTGGAAGAGGTGAGTGTGCTTCATGCTCGTAGCAAGGGGACATTTGGTTGAGGAGCGTTGTCTAGAGGGGTTGTGGATATGAAGACTCAGTGCTGGAGCAGGGGGCAGCCAGCCCTGCTATGGAACAAGAAGCTCTCCTATGATTCTGTGGTCTTCTGGGGCTTGGTTTCAATATGTGTAAGCAAATTGGGGCTCGGTGATGCAGTGTTACTCTGCTGGGAGGAGATGGATGCAAGGATGAATGAGGCACAGAGCTCCTCCCTTCAACTGTGGATGCTGGGTGTCCAGAAATTGGTGCTGCAGCCTCTGGGCATCCCATGTGGGAGGCTGAGTCCTGCTGTGTGGGCTGCAGCCCGTCAGTGTGGGGTGAGCTTGGGTTCGGAAGAGGGTAGAGCTGCAGAGAGAAGGGCAAAGCTGTTCTGCAAGCTGAGGTTAAGCACTCATCCCTCAGGAGGAAGAGGAGCAGGACGAGAGTGGCTGTGAGGAAGAGGATGGACGTGAGGATGAAGATGAGGATTCGGGCAGTGAAGAGAGCCTGGTGGACTCAGACTCAGATGCAGAGGAGAAGGGTAAAGTGCAGAGCCATGTGTGCAGCCCAGGGTATGGGGGTGCATTTGCTGGTGTCTCCTGGCACTGAGCTCTGGTCCTGGGAAGGGAGAGTCCAGCCACCTTGCTGAGGGGATTAGAAAGCACCAGGGTTGTTGCAAGGAGTTTCCAACACTCCTTGGGGTGCTGCTGCTCCCTAGCAGTGTGGGCTCCCATGGGCTCCCTCTGCCCTCTCTGTGTGCTGTGGCTCAGTGAGGCCATGGGAGCGATGCTGCCCCATCCCTCCCAGCCTGACTGTTCCCCTCCGGTCTCCAGCTGTGAACTTCCAGGCCGACCTGGCAGATCTGACTTGTGAGATAGAGATCAAGCAGAAGCTGATCGATGAGCTGGAGAACAGCCAGCGGCGCCTGCAGACCCTCAAGCACCAGTATGAGGAGAAGCTGATCCTGCTGCAGAACAAGATTCGGGACACGCAGCTGGAGCGGGACCGGGTCCTGCAGAACCTCAGTGAGAAATGCCTGTGGAATCCCCTCCCTGTAGTGTTGGGCCCCAGTCCCTGCTCTTACCCAGCTGACTCAGAGCCAAAGCATTCACCCTCTGCATGCACTGCTGGCTCTGGTACAGCTCTGCTATCCCTTTGCCTCTGCTTGAGCCCAATGGGACCCCCAAGACCCTGCTTGTCTTGCCATGGGAGGGGGGCTGGTGAGCTGAAATGCTGCTGACCCCGCTGGTGGTGGAGAGGTGGCTGGAAAGGATGGCAAAGCAAAGCCTCTTCTAGCCTTGAACACTGCTTCATGACATGTGGGAACACTTGGGGAAGATGAGGTGCTGAGGGACACATGAAGACCCCAAAGACCTGGTGGTGTAGCTAACCTCTAGGCTCGGCAGGGCAGGATCACCCATGTCCAGGTCTGCAGCTCCTCTCAGCCCAGTGGTTGTGCTGTAACCCACTGTCACTAACCTGTGCTGAACCCTAACCCAGCTCTTCCAGTGAGTGCCCCCAGACAGATCCCAGCCTGTGGTGGGGCCAGAGCAGAGGGATGTGGAGGGAGCAGTGCACCATGCCACCAGTGCAGGAGGAGCCCAGGGTGCGTGGCTATCACAAGCTCTCTCCTCGCTCCTCTAGGTACTATGGAGTGCTACACAGAGGAGAAAGCCAACAAGATCAAAGCAGACTACGAGAAGCGGCTGAAGGAGATGAACCGGGACCTGCAGAAGCTCCAGGCAGCCCAGAAGGAGCACGCTCGCCTGCTCAAGAACCAGTCCCGCTACGAGCGGGAGCTGAGGAAGCTGCAGGCAGAGGTGGCCGAGATGAAGAAGGCAAAGGTACCTGCTCAAGTCTCCCTGCTCACAAGTGATGTTTTCCACTCCTGTCCTGGTGGCAAGCTCAGGACATCTGTCTGGTTGGATGGCTGCCTTGGGACAATTGGGTGCCTGATCCAACACATCCCATTGCAGGTGGCACTGATGAAGCAGATGCGGGAGGAGCAGCAGCGGAGGCGGCTGGCGGAGACAAAGAGGAATCGCGAGATAGCGCAGCTCAAGAAGGAGCAGCGGCGGCAGGAGGTGAGAGCTCAGCGCCCGCAGGCGGTCCCCCAGAGCAGTGGGAGCTGGCTGAATGGCTCCCAAGGGCTTCCCACAGCTCTCAGTGTGGTTGTGGGAGGTGCTGGGGGATGATGTGCCATTACGGCCAGCCTTGAGGCTGGAAACCTGTCACTTTAAAATCAAGAGTGAGGCTGTTTGTGCCAAAATACCAGCCCCAAGTTTTGGTGTTAGGAGTCTCAGGGCTGTGGCCATCACTGGGGTGTCTGGGCAGGACCCCAGGGGTGTGTGTCTCTCTCGTGCAGTTTCAGATCCGGGCTCTGGAGTCTCAGAAGCGGCAGCAGGAAATAGTGCTGCGGAGGAAAACTCAGGAGGTGAGGAGAGGGATGGGTTTACCTCCATGTAGTCCCCATGGGTGTCCTGACCGCAGTGCTTGGCTTAGAGGCACCCTGTCCTTTAGTCAGTGCCAGCTCTGGGAGCAGGTTTCCCAAAAGGGTGGGAGGATTTTTATGGCTCCTGAGTGAGGAGCGAGGTCTTCTAGAGCAGACTCAGAGAGGATCCCATCAATGCAGATCAATATCTCAAAGGTGGATTCCAGGAGGATGGTGCCAGACTCTTTTCAGTGGTGTCCAGTGACAGGATGACGAGCAATGGCTATAAACTAAACCACAAGAGGTTTCACCTCAACACGAGGAAGAACTTCTTGCTGAGGGTGGCAGAGCACTGGGACAGGCTGCCCAGGGGGGTTGTGGAGTCTCCCTCTCTGGAGACATCCAAACCTGCCTGGACACATTCCTGTGGGAGCTGCTCTGGGTGGCCATGTCTTGGCAGGGGTTGGACTGGATTATCTCCGGAGGTCCCTTCTAACCCTAAGGATTCCAGGATTCATTGTAACCAGGTGGGAGATGGTTGCAGGCACCAGGGGTTGGTCTACGGGGCAGAAGGGGGACGTCCATGAAGCACTACCAGCCCCAGGGATTTAGGTCTCCAGAGCTGCCCCTCTTTGTGGGACCCTGAGGGTGATGACAAGAGCTTTGGGGTGGGGATGCCCATCTGACACCTTCTGCTCCGCCCTGGGCAGGTCTCGGCGCTGCGCCGCCTCGCTAAGCCCATGTCGGACCGGGTGGCAGGCAGGACGAGCCAGAAGCCGGCGCCGGCGATGCTGGACTCGGGTGCCGAGGTCTCGGCCAGCACCACGTCCTCCGAGCCCGAGTCCGGCGCTCGCTCTGTCTCCAGCATCGTGCGCCAGTGGAACAGGAAAATCAACAACTTCCTGGGAGACCCCTCATCCCCCATGAACGGGGCTCGGCCTGCCAGGTCAGGGCAGGGGCTGTGGGAGCAGGTGATGGTGCATCCCAGGACTCCTGTGCCTGGCTTTTGGCTGGTGGTGGAGGTTGAAGGGCAGCCTCTTGTTGGTGTTAAACCACTGACCCACTGACAGGCTGTACTGGCAGCACGTGACTGACTGTCCCCTGGGCTTAAGCCCAGAGCTGGCCTTCCATGAGTGTTAAATGCCATGACACAAACCCTGCTGGGCTCAGCTTTTGCCCCTTTCTTTGCTAAGGGGCAATTGAAAAGTTGGGACATCTAGAAACAATGCAGATACCTCCTCTGCTCCTGGCCAGCCACAGCCCAACTGGGGCATTCTTTTGGGGCAAGCATGGCTTTCCAGGCACAGTGCAGCCATTGGCCCATGTGTCTCTTCTCCCCTTTGGCTGTAGGAAGAAGTTCCCCAAGAAGGGGGCGAGCCAGACTTTCAGCAAAGCCGCCCGCCTCAAGTGGCAGTCACTGGAGCGGCGCATCTTCGACATCGTCATGCAGAGAATGACCATTGTTAACCTGGAGGCTGACATGGAGCGGCTCATCAAGGTGACCATAGAACCACAGAGTCAACCAGGTTGGAAAAGACCTTTAGGCTCATCAAGTCCAACTGCTGGGGAAGGAATTGTTCCTAATCTCCAACCTAACCCTCCCCTGGCACAGCTTGAGGCCATTTTCTCTTGTCCTGTTACTTGGGAGAATACACGGACCCCACCTCACTACATTCTCCTGTCAGGCAGTTGTAGAGAGCGATAAGGTCCCCACAGGCTTTCTCTTCTCCAGACTAAACCCCCCCAGGTCCCTCAGACATTCCTCATCAGACGTGTGCTCCAGGCCCTTCACCATGGTGCTGTGGACAGAGAGGGCTGGGTGGTGGGTGCAGGGCAGGGGCACAGCTATGCTGACAGTGCTGATCCTGCTCCCTTTTCCCTCAGAAACGTGAGGAGCTGGCCCTGCTGCAGGAAGCGTTGCTGGGCAAGAGGTCAAAACTGCAGGCAGAGAACCCCAAGGGGCTGCAGGAGCTGAACGAGGAGATCGAGGTTCTGGGGGCCAACATTGACTACATCAACGATAGCATTTCTGACTGCCAGGCCACCATCATGCAGATCGAGGAGACCAAGGTGGGTGGTTGGACTGGGCTGGACTGGAACAGAGAGAGCAGGAGCATCATTGGGAAGTGAGGGTGTCACCGGGAAGAGCTAGGCTGGGTGTCCTCCAGAGCCATGTCATGCACTCGGAGGGGCTGCATCTTCACAGTCCCTTCTCATTAGGTGGTTAATTGTGGAGGGGAGTGCTGCCGTTCCTTCTATGTCCATGGGCAGGCTGCCAGTGCCCCACGGATTACAGGGAAGCTGCAGCTCCTGTCCTGCGTCTGAGAGGCTGATGGTCACTTGGCCCATGGATGTTTTGCTTGGAAACATCCCGGGAAAGACTCTCTTGTTTCCCAGTAGAAACCCTGCAGGTATCACATCCAGTCTGGACACTGGGCATGCTGCAGGGATGCTGTGCAGCTCCTGGCTGCTCTCTAGTGCTTTCAGCCAGGACTGGAGGCTGTGTGCTGACCCTGGCTTGTGCCCAGTTGTCACTTGGATTGACAGGACAGAAGGGGACGTTGTTAATTCACGCTGGCCTTCGGGTTGGTGACTTTATCTGCTTGTGTCTGCAGATTAGTGTCTAATGAAGTGTGTGCACGAGGATTTCTGTAGCAACACAGAAGCCCTTCAGGTTGCATTGGCCAGATCTCCCCAGTAGCCACTTGGGCAGAATGAGGAGGTTGGGACTGGGCAGTGCTGTTGGCGGTGCTGTGCTGGCTATGGAGCCTGTTCTGCCTGTGCCACATCCAGTGGCAAAGCTCTCCTGCTGCATCCTGTGCCCATTCCTCCTGTTTCAGGAGGAGCTGGACTCCACAGACACCTCGGTGGTGATCAGCTCGTGCTCCCTGGCCGAAGCTCGGCTTCTGCTGGACAACTTCCTGAAGGCCTCCATAGACAAGGTGCGGTGCCAGGATTTGTGATGGGATTTCTCATGGCCGGGGAAGGGGGGCAGGTTGCCAGGGTGGGGACTTGCTGGTGGGGACCCAAGGCACCCACCTGAGGCCCCCCGTGGCCGTCCTTCCCTAGGGGCTGCAGGTAGCACAGAAGGAGGCCCAGATCCGCCTGCTGGAGGGGCGCCTGCGGCAGACTGACATGACAAGCTCCTCGCAGAACCACGCCATCCTGGATGCGCTGCGGGAGAAAGCGGAGTCGCACCCCGAGCTGCAAGCCCTGATCCACAATGTCCAGCAAGGTGGGACTCGGGGCTGTGCATCCAGTTTGTGGCCATGAACTAAACCACAAGAGGTTTCACCTTAACATGAGGAAGAACTTCTTCCTGTTGAGGGTGGCAGAGCACTGGGACAGGCTACGGGGGGGGTTGTGGAGTTTCCTTCTCTGGAGACATCCAAACCAACCATGGACATGTTCCTGTGTAAGCTGCTCTGGGTGGCCTTGCCTTGGCAGGGGGTTGCACTGGATGATCTCCAAAGGTCCCTTCCAACCCAAATGATTCTGGGATCCTGGGGCCAGGCATGCTGCCTGTGAGGAGAGTTGCCCAACCATGGTGGTCCCCCAAGAAGCGCTTGGAGGTGTCATGGCTGTGACCAGCATGCCCAGGGTTGCCCTGAGGGTGATGCTGGGCAGGGATGTGTGTGCCAGTCACCACACAACAGGGATGAGGACCAGGTCCACGTGTCTCCCCCACAACTGCCTGTGCTGCCCCCTACACTGCACAGCTTAGATGGTACTGGACACCTTGGGGTCCCCTCTGCTCTGCTGATGTGCTGTCTCCTTCCTGCACAGAGAATGGCTACACCAGCACGGATGAGGAGGTCTCGGAGTTCAGTCTGGCTTCAGATGGGAGGTGAGTACCCAGCCCGGCCCTGCCTGAGCTGGAGGAGGCCAGGGGTGGGTAGGATGTGTGGTGCCACCCATGGGACCTTGCAGGTGGACGTGGATGAACAAAGCCCCACCTATGGTGCCCAGCCCTTGGGGAGGGGAGCAGAGATGTCTCTTAGACACCTGCAGAGAGCAAGAACTAGGTCATCCCTTGGAGAGAGGGTGCAGGGGAGCAGGGGGTGACCCAAGGAGTCTGGTGGGCCAGTGACAACCAGCTCTCTGGAAGGAGTTTGGCACTGAAGCTCCTCCTTTGTTCCCTTCTCCTTGTAGCATCTCCCAGTCTTTCACCATGAAGGGCTCAGCAAGCCAGGATGACTTCAAGTTCAAGGTTAGTTGGGTCTTTCTGTGTGCCCCATCAGAGGGAATGGGAGGAGGGATGGAGGGGCGTGTTGTTCAGTGATAGTCTAGGCCTTGCTCTGTAGTCTGACCCTTGGCATAAGGCACTATGGCTGGTCTCTGGGTGGGGTCAGCTCTAGAGAAGGGGGTGCCACGCTCCTCCGAAGCACCAGAGGCTTGGGAAACATCCACCACCTCAGCCACCAAGGAAGTCCCTGTGCAGTGCTGCATCCATGTGGGCAAAGGTGGAAGAGAGCACCAACTGTTCTGCACAGGCTTAGAGTATGGAAAGCCAGCACTGTGCTGGGCATCCCAGCATGATGCAGGAGGAACTCCATCTCCTGTGGCCAGAGAGCATGAGCTCTTCCACCCTGCAACTCTCTGGCTGCTCCTGCTGTCCCTCCCCATGCTGCCTGTGACTGAGCCCTCTGTCTTCTCTAGGGAGAGCCCAAGCTCTCAGGGCAGATGAAAGCAGTGTCAGCTGAGTGTCTAGGACCCACACTGGATGTCTCCACCAAGAACATCACCAAGTCCTTGGCATCCCTCATGGAGATCAAAGAGGATGGGATCAGCTTCTCCGTCAGAGACCCCTATTACAAGGAGAAAGTGTCACGCACCATCAGCCTGCCCACTCGAGGAAGCACCTTGTGAGCATGGGATGGTGGGTCTCTGGGCAGTGGGAGGCTCTTGGAGGGTGGGAAGCTGTGTCCTGGCTGTGGAGTTGCAGAGAGATGAGGGTGAGCCCAATCCTGCATCTATCCAGGTTTGCCTGCAGCAAGCAGTGGGGCATTTCTCCAGCAGGACTTGGAAAGTATCTAGGAGTATGCTGGTATCCTCTGCAGATGGAGAGGAGGGTACTCCAGGAGGAGGGAAAGAAGGGGGAAGGTCCCCAACTCACTGCTCTGGGTTATCAGCCTTCTTAAAGGCTTCTTGGATTACCAGAAGCCTCTGTGCTCATGGGGTGACTTGAGGCATCTCTGATCTTGAGATTGTGACTGTAGAGCAGCCCAACTTCTCCATTTGCTCTGCTGGGAAAGGCCATTGGTGTTCAGCATGGGGGGAACCCAGCAGGGGCAGCAGGCACCCACTCTGCTCTCTTTTACTCACTTTAGTCCCAGGCAGTCTCGTGGCTCGGACACTTCACCTCTGACCAGGAGGAAATCCTATGACCGTGGCCAACCTGCCAGGTGAGCTTGGAAGCTGGGAAACAGCAGCATGGTCATGGAGAGGCTGGATGGCCCAGACAAGTGAGGAAAGATGCTGGCTGGACCAGCCCTTGCTGTGCCAGGCAGTTGCCAGAAAGCAGTTCCCAAGTGACGTGTCCCTCTGATCCTTCCTGGCTCAGGCCTCCAGACGTTGGCTTCACGCCTCCCTCATCCCCACCCACCCGTCCACGCAACGACCGCAATGTCTTCTCTCGTCTCACGAGCAACCAGAGCCAAGGATCTGCCTTGGACAAGTAAGTCCTGGTGGGGTGGGAGCGTCTGAGTGAGGGGGACCCATTCCACAACAGCAGTTGGGTGCTGCAGTGGGGTATAGGGGCACAGGACCTGGGTCAGCTCCAGCCCAGCTTTCTGACTCCATTTTCATGCCCTGCTCCTCTCCATGAGGGAGCAGATGCTCTGCAAGGGCCATGCTGGACCCTTGCCCTGTCCTGCCTGCTCTGTGTCCCCTCTGAGCTGTCTGCTTGCAGGAGCTTGCAGCCACAGCCTCTGCCTATACTCTGCTTGGAGACAGGGCAGTACCACACTTGGACCACTGGGAAAGGCTATGGAGCAGGATGGTGTGAGGTGGGATGGGGACTTGCAGGAAGCTGATGGACTGGCACCAACCCAAAAATGCTGCTCCAGCTTTCCCGTGCAGCAGACTGGGGACCTGCCATCGACTTGGAGCGGTTCTAGAACCACTGATGTTCCCTGATGGACACCTGCTGTCTGATCCTCATATGCCCTTCTGCTCCTCTGCTCTCTCCCCTGGTTCTCCACATGTGCTTCTCTTCCCTCTTTTCCCTCCCCCTCCTTTCTCTCCTACACTGGCTTGGATGCAATAACAATCCTCCACCTCTGACTCCTCAGCTACCTCTTCTTGTCTGGGTTTTCTCTCCCATAATCCTGCTAATTTTCTGCCCGTAGGTCTGATGACAGCGATTCCTCTGTCTCGGAGGTGCTGAGGTATAGACAACTTTCTATTTATTATCCCTTCCTTCTCTTCTCCTCCTTCTCTCTGTCTCACGAGCCTGCTCTCCCTCGTCCCTGCATGCTTCACCTGCACCTTGCTGCTCTCCCCCACCTCCCATCCTGTGTGTGCTGGCCCCCCTTGGCATGCCACCTCTAGTGTCTTGATGCCGTCCCCTCGGTGGTGAG